CTTCTCACACGTTTCGCCCCTCACACGTTTCGCTCCCCACACGTTTCGCCCCTCACACGTTTAGCCCCTCACACGTTTCGCCACTCACACGAATCGCCCCTCACACGTTTCGCCCCTCAAATGTTTCGCCCCTCACACGTTTCGCCCCTCACACATTTCGCCCCTCACACGTTTCGCCCCTCACTCGTTTCGCCCCTCACACGTTTCACCCCTCACACGTTTCGCCCCTCACACATTTCGCCCCTCACACGTTTCGCCCCTCACACGTTTCGCCCCTCACACGTTTCGCCCCGCACACTTTTCGCCCCTCACGCTTTTCGCCCCTCACACGTTTCGACCCTCACACAATTTGCCCCTCACACGTTTCGCCCCTCACACATTTCGCCCCTCACACATTTCGCCCCTCACACGTTTCGCCCCTCACACGTTTCGCCCTTCACACGTTTCGCCCCTCACACGTTTCGCACCTCACACGTTTCGCCCTCACACGTTTCGCCCTCACACGTTTCGCCCCTCACACGTTTCAACCCAGACACGTTTCGCCATTCAATTTGCGCTTAGTGGTACGCTGGCAATTTAGTCCATCCCAAATGTTTTTCGTAACAAGGGAAATTTTAAGTGTAACATTTACTAGATGAATCAAAAGTATTTGAAAATCTAAACAAGACTGCTCGTATCAGGGCGAAGCCCTGAAAGCTCCCACTGCCTTTTAACATTTATTAAAAACATAAACAATATAAAAAAATTAAATGAAACAATATAAAATGAAAAGTTTTTTTTCTTAAATTTGAAATTTTTTCTATGAAAATCATCTCCCCACACGCCATAATAAGTATAAAGTGATAAATTTCGCTGCTAGTAACAAATCAATTTTGGCAAATAAGCGTCTTTCAACCAATTTGGAACGATTTTTAGGACGGATTAAATCTCCGCTTACTCGTTAATAGCGCGAATTATATCGCTCCTTAATTGTCCCAATTTGGTCAAAATGGCCAAAAAGGCAATCTTTAAACCCCCATAACTTTACAAAAAATCACAGGTTAAATAACTTTTCAAATTCAAGCTCAGGACAAAAAATTTTTTTTGCATGTAATGAAAAAATTCTGTCAAAAATGGCTAGTTAACAAGTCAAAAATTGTCTGAAGAAAAAGAAAACCACCCCGAGCACAAATATTCCATTACTTTCGTATCGTAGGTTGAAACAAAAAATGATGAAAAAGGAAGCTTGGCTTGAGATTCTTATTTTAACGACTCGTTTTGAAGTTACGTCGGCCTGATATTTAATAAGCACAAAATATATAACTTAAAACGCAGAATGTAGCACAGAGTGTTCTGACTATAGTCTTCAAAAACCTACAAGAAAAAAAGTTTTTTTAAAAAAATTGGTGTAGTTTTTCAGCGTGGTATGATAAAAGGATCTCACGTAAAACTATAATTTAGGCAAATTTGACAATCATAGTAAAATTGGCAAATAGGACAGCAGTTTTTGTCTGAAATTACTGGAAAAACAAAAAAACATATATATATTTTTTGAAAAAAAATCACAAAAAATCTATTCATCAAAAAGCTATTGTAATTGGCTTAAAATAAGCAAAAATATTTCTGCTTGCTGGCTTTCGTCGCCCAAAATTAGACCAAAAAAACAAAAGTTTCAAGTCGTTCTTTTTTCGACACTCGGAAAAAATGTTGGGAATTTTTTTTATTGTGGTTTCGAATCACGACTAAAAAGGTTTCAATCTGATAAAATAATTCAACTCAGTCCGATGATTAGTTGTGGCAACTGATTTTACGTTGAAAACACAAATGTAAGAAAAAGAAAAAACTAAATACACCCGAATACAAAATTCCTCCCCATTTTCAATGTTTGGAACAAAAACTAAAACACACCCGAATACAAAGTCCCTTCCCTCGCCATTTTTAATGGTCGGAACAATAATACGCTTAATACGTTACAAGACGCAAGCCTAGCAAACATCACTTTTTAATTTGATACATAACGATAGACAATAAAATTAAGAGGGAAAATGAATATTTTTTTCGATTTGTTAAATTTCAAAGCTTTTTTAATAATTTTTTTTTCATGGCAGTCAGACTAACCCGGGTTTTGTCTTTATACGAACAGTCTTTTTGTAAAACATTACTTCTTTTAAGAAAAATTATCTGGATTCAAATAAGTATATCCGTTAATTGTGAGTATTATCAAAAGAAAAGAGATACCAAATATATAAGGGCTTAGTCATTTTCCAAACGTCTTAAACTCTGTGGAGCCAAATAACAAGGTGTTATTGGCATGTTTACTTAATTATTCCTATTTTCTCATCAAGCAGAACACTTTACTGACTGTGAGTTGTTGTCCCAGGAGTTTGTGAATTGTGTCTTGAGGGTGTTGATGACTGTGTCCTTCTGATACAGCTGGCCAACCACTCTCTCCATCTCACTCAGCTTCAGATCAGTCTTAACAAAAACACCAAGTAAACATTGTTCTTATCAGGGTTAAGCGCTGAACCTTCTGATTGTTTCTTAAAGTCTACGGAATTAAATCTAAGAAAAAAAATAAAAACTGATAAAAATTAGTTTCCCACGCGCTATGTAAAGTACAGATTGATTTAATTAGCGCACAGCAAAAAATTACAAATTTCACACAGGATGCCTCAGATAAAATTGCTAAATTTTTGAGTAGGTTTAAATTGCCGCTGATGCTTTAATGGCGCAAAATAAATTGCGAATTAACTATCTTATTTTGAATTATAGTCGTCGAGGTAGTCCCAAATTCAAACTATAATAAATTTGCAAAGTATGATCGTTTTATGATATCAAGACAACGATATACTTCAAACGGTTTTTCAAAAATTTTTAAACAATCTAATTTTGACTGAAGCACTCCAAGTTTTTCTTCCAAAGCTGGAACAAAACCATTGCTTGTATCAGGACAAAAAGGACCTGAATGCTTATACCGTCTCTCAATTTCTCTCCGATAATCTATCTTAGCTTTACAAACTTTTCATGAAAAAATGTTTAGGTTTCAAGATAGCTATTATTCCGACTTCCAAAGAAAGGGAAGGAATATAAGTACACTGGGTGGTTTTCCTCCAGACCAATTTTGACGTTTAGCAAGCCATTTTGAAACTGAAATTTTTTGATACCATCTGAAATACAGTTGAGTTGAGTTCTTAGGTCTAACTCACAGAGTAATTTCAGATAGGGTACACCGTCTGCTCGTCACGCTACCTTATTTTCGGCCGGATAGATTCGTGCAACTTCTTAGTGAATACCGATCTTAATCCTACTCTTATATCTGCTAGTCTCAATTAGTCTCAATAGATCTAGAGTATACTGGTTTATTGCGAGTAGGTCTCTGGAGAGGCAACTAAGTTCTAAAATAAATTCAAATCTCTCTGGTGCTGAAGTTACAAGTAATTTCAGCACTTACAAATAAGTGGGTTGTTAGTTCGATGGATTACGATTGGTTAGTTTTACAAAAATTTAATAGAGATAAAAAATCTAATTAACAACCAATAATAAAATCATAGTTTAGATCTGGTTCCACCCATCCGGGGTTTACAGAGTTTTTGAATCTTTCATATTCTATTTGGCGAGAATCATTTCTGGTTCGGTTCTTGAAGAAAAAAGTTCCAGGAAGCTGGATTAGTCGATATGATTTTTGACATTCAACAATGACTGTGACCGCCAACGAAATCAGTCTGACTTCAAAATGGTTTGCTATGATTGTTCGTTCTGCTTCGGTGGAGAACTGATTGTGTTTCGTTCTTATCTGGAAATGGCGTGTAGATTGTGTTTGGAGGGAATGCCTTGAAACTCAGGTGGTCATTGAACATCGAGGTGGTCATTGGTCTGATTCAATGAAGTCCTTTTCTGCGAAGTCAAGTCGTACTTCAAATCCTTTTGAGTTGTGATTGTGAGCGGCATATCGGTTGTGTTTAGCCATTCTGTAGATTGTATATGAGGGGGTCGTCTAATTTCTTGATGCTCGTCTTGTGGTCGTGTATGATCTATATACTGAATTATATGATTTTATCTTTTATAAAATTTTCGTTAATTCGGTTTTTTAGTTATGATTTCTATTAGTTGTTCTCGCGAAAGTTTTTAATTTTAGTTCTGTCTTTTTTAAGCGTTTCGCCCCTCACACATTTCGCCCCTCACAAGTTTCGCCCCTCACACGTTTCGCCCCTCACACGTTTCGCCCCTCACACGTTTCGCCCCCCAAACGTTTCGCCCCTCACACGTTTAGCCCCTTACACGTTTCGCCACTCACACGTTTTGCCCCTCACACGTTTCGCCCCTCACACGTTTCGTGCCTCACACGTTTCGCCCCTCACACGCTTCGCCCCCCAAACGTTTCGCCCCTCACACGTTTAGCCCTTACACGTTTTGCCCCTCACACGTTTCGCCCCTCACACGTTTCGTGCCTCACACGTTTCGCCCCTCACACGTTTCGCCCCTCACACGTTTCGGCCCTCACACGTTTCGCCCCTCACACCTTTCTCCCCTCACACGTTTCCCCCCATCACACATTTCGCGCCTCACACATTTCGCCCCTCACACGTTTCGCCCCTCACACGTTTCGCCCCTCACACGTTTCGCCCCTCATCACACGTTTCGCCCCTAACACGTTTCGCCCCTCACACGTTTCGCCCCTTACTCGTTTCGCCCCTGACACGTTTCGCCCCTCACACATTTCTCCCCTCAAATTTTGGCACAGTTTCCCCCTAAAATGTACAGTAAGAAATTGGCGTTAATTAACTGTGTAATAAGTTAGGGGCGAAATGTGCCAATAGATTTAAGAGGGGCGAAATGTGTGAGGGGCGAAATGTGTGAGGGGCGAAACGTGGCACTAGATTTAAGAGGGATGAAATGTGTGAGGGGCGAAATGTGCCACTAGATTTAGGATGGACGAAATGTTTGAGGGGGCGAAACGTGGGACAGTCTCTTAAAATTCATAGCATTCTCTTGCTCAATTTTGGTTAAAATTCTTGGATAACCATGGCGCGTAGTTTGGCCTTGAGGTGTTTGTTGTGGGCGATGGTGTCCCCCAACTGTCTCTCCATCCCCTCCCTCTCCCCCTCCAGTCTCTCGATGTCCCTGCTTCCCCTCTCCACTAGGCCACGCAGACGCACCAACTCATCCACTCGCTCTCTAATCATATCAATATTTATAGTTACGAGATAATTTGCAAAACTTTCACTTAGACAGCTTTAAAAATTTCAGACTAAAAGGCAATTGTTTTGTTTTGTGGAACATTTCAAATCAAATAGTCTTTTTTGACGGATTTTGAGACGTAAAACATGAAGTTATTATTCAATTATCTGATTTGTCAAAGTTTTGAAAACAGTAAAAAAAAACCCATGGTGTATAAAAATGTTTCAGGACAATTAACGCGCAACGTAATTTGCCTAGTCAACAGCATGCGGTAAATTAAATCGTGTCATGCTGAACTGAGGCGAGCAATTTGCGCTTAGTGATACGCTGGCAATTTAGTCCATCCTAAATGTTTTTCGTAACAAGGGAAAATTTAAGAGTGACATTCACTAGATGAATCAAAAGTATTTGAAAATCTAAACAAGACTGCTCGTACCAGGGCGAAGCCCTGAAAATTCCGACCGCCTTTTAATGTTTATGGAGCAGTAATAACATTTCAGAAATTAAATGAAATAAAACAAAATGAAATTTTTTTTTTTTAATTTAAATTTTTTTTAATGAAAATCTTCCCCCCACACGCCATGTTAAGTACAAAACAATAGATTTTGCTCCTTGTAACAAATCATTTATGGCAAAAAAGCTTCTTTCAACCAAGTTGGAACGATTTCTAAGACGGATTAAATCTCCGCTTACGCGTTAATAGCGCGAATTATATTGCGCGTTAATTGTCCCAAATTGGTCAAAATGGCCAAAATGGCAATCTTTAAACCCTCATAACTTTACGAAAAATGATCAAAGGTGAAATACTTTTTCAAATTTAAGCTCAGGACAACAATAGCTTTAGAATGACATAAAAAAATTCCGTCAAATATGGCTAGTTAAAAAGTCGAAATTTGTCTGAAGAAAAAAAACCCACCCGAGCACAAATATTCCGTTACTTTCGTATCGAAAGTCGGAACAACAAGACTGCTCGTATCAGGGCGAAACCCTGATTGCTCCGACTACCTTTTAAGGTTTATGGAGCAGTAATAACATAAACAACATAAAAAAATTAAATGAAGCAAAATAAAATGAACAATTTTTTTTCTAAAATTTGAAATTTTTTCTATGAAAATTATCCCCCCACACGCCATAATAAGTATAAAGTGATAAATTTTGCTGCTAGTAACAAATCAATTCTGGCAAATAAGTTTCTTTCAACCAATTTGGAACGATTTCTAAAACGGATTAAATCTCCGCTTACGCGTTAATAGCGCGAATTATATCGAGCGTTAATTGTCCCAAATTGGTCAAAATGGAGAAAATGGCAATCTTCAAACCCCCAAAACTTTACAAAAAATAATCACAGGTGAAATATCTTTTCAAATTCAAGCTCAGGACAACAATACCTTTTGAATGATATGAAAAAATTCCGTCAAAAATGGCTAGTTAAGAAGTCGAAATTTGTCTGAAGAAAAAAAAACCACCCCGAGCACAAATATTCCGTTACTTTCGTATCGAAAATTGGAGCAAAAAATGATGAAAAAGGAAGCTTGGCTTGAAGTTTTTATTTTAACGACTCGTTTTGAAATTCCGTCGGCCTGATATTTGGTACGCCCAAAATATATCACTGAACTTAAAAATTAGTCTAGTTTTTTTTAAAAAATTAGTCTAGTTTTTAAGCGTGGTGTGATAAAAGGATCTGACGTAAAACTATAATTTAGGCAAATTTGACAATCATTGTAAAAAAGGCAAGCAGGAAAGAGTTTTTGTCGGAAATGACTAGAAAAACAAAAAAATATATATATATTTTTTTGTAAAAAATCGCAAAAAAAACTAATCATAAGAAAGCTATTGTAATCGTCTTAAGATAAGCATAAAAAATTCTGCTCATGGACTTTCGTCGCCCAAAACTAGACAAAAAAATATCAAACGTTTCAAATCGTTTTTTTTTTTTCGACACTAGAAAAAAATGTTGGGAATTTTTTACTGTGGTTTCGAATCACGACTAAAATGTTTCAATCGGATAAAATAATTTAACTCAGTTCGATGGTTACTTGTGGCAACTGATTTTACGTTGAAAACAAAAATGTAAGAAAAAGAAAAAAACTAAATTACACCCGAATACAAAGTTCCTCCCCATTTTCAATGGTTGGAACAAAAACTAAAACACACCCGAATACAAAGTCCCTCCCCATTTTCAATAGTCGGAACAATAATACGTAAAATACGTTTCAAGACGCAAGCCTAGCAAACATCACTTTTTACCTTAGATACATAACGATAGACAATAAAATTAAGGGGAAAAATGAACATTTTTTTTCGAGTTGTTAAACTTCAAAGCTTTTTTAATAAACTTTTTTTCATGGCAGTCAGAATAACCCGGGTTTTGCCTTAATACGAACAGTCTTTTTGTATAAATTAAATCTTCCAAAGAATTATATCTGGTTTCAAAGAAATATATCCGTTAATTGTGAGTATTATCAAAAGAAAGCAGAGACCAAATATATAAGGGCATAGTCATTTTACAAACGTCTTAAACTCTGTGGAGCCAAATAACAAGGTGTTTTTTGGCATGTTTACTGAATGATTCCTATTTTGTCATCAAGTAGAACACTTTACTGACTGTGAGTTGTTGTCCCAGGAGTTTGTGAGTTGTGTCTTGAGGGTGTTGATGACTGTGTCCTTCTGATGCAGCTGGCCCACCACTCTCTCCATCTCACTCAGCTTCAGATCAGTCTTAACAAAAACACCAAGTAAACATTGCTCGTATCAGGGTTAAGCGCTGAACAATCTGATTGTTCCTTAAGGTCTACGGAATAAAAAGAAAGAAAAAATTGAAAAAATTGATAAAATTAGTTTCCCGCGCACTATGTAAAGTACAGATTGATTTAATTAGCGCAAAGCAAAAAATTACAAATTTTTATACAGGATGCCTCAAATAAAATTGCAAAATTTTTGAGTAGGTTTAAATTGCCGCTGACGCTTTAATGGCGCAAAATAAATTGCGAATTAACTATCCCATTTTGAATTAAAGTCGTCGAAGTAGTCCCAAATTCAAACTATAATAATTTTGCAAAGTATGATCGTTTTAAGAAATCAAGACAACGATATACTTCAAACGGTTTTCAAAAATTTTTAAACAATCTAATTTTGACTGAAGCACTCCAAGCTTTTCTTCCACAGCTGGAACAAAAACATTGCTTGTATCAGGGCAAAACCCTGAATGTTCCTACCGTCTCTCAAATTCTCTCGGATATTCTATCTTAGTCTTACAAACTTTTCATGAAAAAATGTTTAAGTTTCAAGATAGTTATTATTTTGACTTCCAAAGAAAGGGAAGAAATATAAAGGCAGTTGGTGGTTTTTTCTCCAGACCAATTTTGACGTTTAGTAGGCCATTTATAAACGGAAATTTTTTGATACCATCTGAAATACAGTCATTGCCTGCAAGACTACCAGTACAACCAAATGTCCCTCAAAACGTACTCTTTAGCTAAAACTACATGAAATGGTTTTAACTCATACATGATGATTGCGTGAACTTAATCTCCTTTTGATGTTATAAATCATATCTCACGTTTTGTAATTCGCCCTTTTAAATAACTTCATTGTTTTAGTAGTGATATGTTTTTGATAGAATTTTATCAAAATTTTTGCTCCGACTTTTCTGTTTTTCAAGCTTTTTGAGACCAGAAATAGCCAAGAAAAAGAAATTTTCAGATCTGAAATAGCCAAAAAACACGAAATTTCAGATCTGAAATAGCCAAGAAAAAGAAAATTTCAGATCTGAAATAGCCAAGAAACACGAAACTTCAGATCTGAAAAAGCCAAAAAAAATAAAATTTCAGTTCTGAAATAGCCAAGAAAAAGAAAATTTCAGATCTGAAATAACCAAGAAAAACAAAATTCATGCGTTATTTAAATATTTCACAACCTATTCCAGATCTGAAATTTAGATCTGAAATAGATAATTTCAGATCTGTTTTTAAAAAATTTACTGGGTACGGGTGAGTTCAATTTTAAAACAGATCGTTTTTACCTGCGATAGTTTTTAAAAAGCTATCAAGGTTTAAAAATTGTCGATTTGGCTAATTTGGGACAATTACCGCGCGATATATTCTAAATTTTAAACTAATTTTTCATAATACGACAGAAGTCTTGACATCATCCAAAATTTATATTTCCTTGGCTCAATATTAATTTAATATTTTATCAGTGGTTTTTTTGTACAAAAACTTATTCCATATTGAATTGAGACGTGTCCCTAAATATATTCACAACTATGTCGTATGCAAAATATTCCCCTCTGTTATTTTCTTAGCGTATGGTGGATGGTTTTCAAAAAATTCAAATAATTTTGAAGAATTTTTTCCATTTTTTGAAAGTTTGCTCCAAAATGTTAAATGTTATTAAGAAATATTCTCAGAACTTCGCTAAGACACTAACAGTCTTGCTAATCTGACTTTCGAAAAAATGACAAAATAATTGTGCTCGGGGTGTTTTTTCTCCAGACAAACTTCAATTTTGAATTAGAAATTTTGACGGAATTTGTTTTTCAACAGTCGAAAGGTTGCATTGAGCACAAAATTCAAAAGATATTTCACCTGTGATCATTTCTGGAAAAATTATGGGGGTTTAAAGATCGCCAATTTGCCAATTTGAGACAATTAACGCGCGATAGGTTTCGTGCAAATAAAGAGTAAGCTGAGATTTAGTAATCTGAGAAATTGAATTCAGGCATCTCATTTTGTCTATATATTTCTTCGCTATATATAAAAATTTATAATTTTGTACGTTTCGCAATGATTTGAAAACGACTCAAAATTTTTTTTAAAAATTATTAATTTCTCGAATCTTTTATCAATTTTTTTTAAAGTGAACACTACTCCATAGACCTTAAAAGGCAGACTAAACTCTCAGAGTTTTGCCATGGATACGAGCAGTCTTGTGAGGAGTCTTACAAAAATTGGCATTTGGAGATTCAAGAAAAAATGTTTTCCGTTCCGGCATTCAAAATAAACTTAGTCGAACTTATTGATTTGTTCAACCAAACAATGAGAAACTTCAAATCTGCAGATTCATATTTTCTGAGCTGAGGCGGCCGAAGGCTGATTTCTCTAAATGACAGACATATTTGGACTGATATTTTGACCCTGGTCGATTTATTTATCGAATTTAGTAGAACAAAATCTGTAGACGCCTATATAGCATGGGTCAAACATAAGACAATTGGTCGAACCATATACGAACTTTACTAAGTTCGACCAAGGTTATAGTGACTGAATGAATGGAATGTAAATGTATGGATATACCTGTGTGTTGAGTTTGTTGTGCAGCTGATCCACCTCCTCCCTCAATTGCCTCTCCCTCTCCCTCCCCCTCTTCACCCCCTCCTCTCTCTCCTTCAACTGACCCCTCAATTCCTCACAGCTACTACACGACTCCTAAAACACACAACACACTAAATAATTCCAAGTGTATTTTTTCTCAAGCTCTATCAATCGTTTAGTTAATCAGCCCTATCGAACTGAAAATTGTTTTTTTACGACAGGCTTTTTTCTGATAAAAAGCAATTGTCTATTCACTCTTGATCAGGAATAGACAGTTAAAATGATAAAAGCAGTGGCTGTCTAGTTACAGAGTTGTTTACCAAATAGGGCAGTGGCCTCTTCATCCCTTCCCTATTGATCGTTTTTTTAACCTATTTTTTTAATGTTGTTTTATTTAATTTTTTAAAAAAAAATAGTGTTTAACTCTTCTAGTCAATTATAAATTTTCTCACTGCTTTATCTTGGCACTCTTGACGAATAAATTTTTCTGTTAACTTCGAAACTCGCAGGCAAACTTTTCTCTAGCCTTGTATATTTCATTTTCAAGCTAAAGTCTGTAAAAGAAACCGTCTTGCGCTTGGAATTTGTTCTGAACATTTGTCTGACTTTCATTGTTTTTTCTAATTGTTCCGTATTCGGGTGTTTTAGTTTTATTCTTTTTTTTGTATTCCACAAAAAAATCAGCTACCACAAAAAAAATTATCCTAGAGATTTGAGTCATATATCATATATTTAAGCCATTGCAGTCGTAATTCGAGCGACCTGAAGTTTTGACAAAACTTACCCAGCGTCAAGAAAAACCGGTTCAAAATTTTTGATTTTTCGTCTTATTTCGAGCGAAATAAAGCGAGCAAGCAGGATTGCAAAAGCTTTTCTTAATGGCTTAAAAGCTTACAATAGCCTAATTTTAGCTATAAAAACTGAGTTTTACTCCAGTGAAGTCAGTTTTTGGAGTAATTTGGCGCCTTTTTAGCATGGAAATTTTCAAAAAACCGCAGAAAAAATGATTTAAAAAAAAAAATTTGTTGTAATTTTGAAGACTGGTCGGAACGTTCTAAGCTACTTGCTCAGTAACCAACTATCCTTGTTTCTTTTTGTCAGTGCTTGCATCAAGTGAAATTCAGCATGGAACGACTTCTTGAAGTGTGAAATGAGATTTTTTCCAATTGAAAAAAAAACTATATTAAAAAACTCAGTTTTTTTACCTGATGAAATCTCAATTCACTTTTTGAATGATTTCTCAGACCTCTCAAACATAAAATTTTCTCTATTTTAGCGTTAATACAATTTTTTTTAGCAAAGTCCAAGAACATGTAATATTTTCATAAATGATTTCAATTTTCCAAACAAATTTCAGGAACAACAGTTGCTGCATACAGATTACTTCACATTGCTTATGAGCTGGTTTTCTTTGTGCAACAATTACTTTTTTTTCAATTACTTTTTCAGTTGTTTTTTACTTTTTTGTCAATTACAGTTTTGAAAAAAAGTATGTTGTGAAACTTTAATCCAGCGTTAATATTTTTTTGGTCAAGTTTTCGTTTTTATTCAGATCTTAATTTTTCTACATGTTTTTAGGATCCGTATTTTCAACTCTTTTCTTGCTTCAATTTTAAGAATGCTGTCGCCATGTTTTTTTTACTGCAAAATTTCAATGGCAATTCTGATACGTATTTCAGATTGGTCCAATAATTGTGCGAGAAAAAGCTATGAACTGCCCTCATTAGAATCACGAGCGTCAACTTGTTTCAATTACAGCATGCATTTATCAATCCTACGCTATATAAATTTTTTTTTTCTTGCATCTACTTAATGATCAATTCGTTCAAACTTCTAGCAGTTATTTCAAAAAAATGTTGAGAAATTTTGAGGAAAAATGATCGCCAAAATTATCAGACGATGAAAGTAGGATATTTTTAGAAGGAAATTCCTAGGTACATAAAACTGAATCAATCAAAGTGCTGCTAGATTCTGTTTTATCTTCTTGAGTTGCATATCATACAGTTTTTCTTAATTTTTTTTCTATCATTTTGTTATCATTTTTTGTGCGACTTGTAAAATTTAACAGTAAGCTTAGGTTGAATCACCAATTGCTATCTTTTTAAAATCAAGTTCTTGCGATAGACCATCCGAATAGAATTTTAGACCTAGAAATTTTAAATTAGCAATTTTGGTGGAATATATACACAGGTTACTACACGTTTCTGATTAATTAGATCATATATGGGTATTAAAAAGTTTCTTGAAAAAGTCTGCATGATTTTAGTGAACAACCTGATTTCTGCCCTACTCTTGATATAAATGCCTATTTATATGTAAAATATATTTTTTTCAGAGCTGTTTTAAAAACCGAGTTTTTTTTGTTCCGACCATTGAAAATGAGAAGAAATTTGGTATTCGGGTGAGATTTTGTTTCTGTTTTTTTTTTAAATTCTTGTGTTTTCCAAGCCGAATCAGGTAACGCAAACAATTATACGATTGGGCCAAGTGCGATTAAAAAAACTCCAGCACTTTCTCTCGCGATTCGAACGACATAAAATCTTTTTCTAAAATTGTCTTAATATGGAGTAAAACAGGTTTATAACTTTTGATTTTTAGCCCAAATTTGATCTCACAAATCAAACGAGCGGGCTTAAAATAGCTTAATTATACTTAATTAAAGCGTACAAAAGTAGTTACTTGAACAACTATCGATTTTGGAGCTTTCAGTGCCATTTTGCTAATTAAAAATTTCAAAAAGACAAGAAAATATCTGCAAAAAATTGCAATTTTTTAAAATGATTTCTTAATATTTTTTTGTTTTTCTATTCACTTTTCCATGAAAAAATATTGTCCAATTCGCCTTTTTTACTGAGACTGTCAAATATTTTCAAGTTCTATCTTTGCGTTCAGATTCTTTTATCAGCAGAAACATTACAAATTTTTTGAATTTTTTTTTGAATTTTTTTAAGACTATGGTCGGACTATGCGGTCCTTCATGCCTAGTAACCGGATTTCCTTGTTGCAATCGACTTTGCTGCGATTGATCACAAAATTACAGGGCACGGATATGATAAATTGCATTAAAAATGTTTTCAATTTGTTTGCTACTTGTCTCTGTTAACCATTTCTTTGTAAAACATCTCATTCTCATAAAAAAATTTTTAGAGTTTTTTTCTCTTAATAGGCTTTTTTATTTGTGTTTATTTAGAATGAAAAAAATTAGGCCAATATCTGATTCTGAGGGTAACCAAGCGATACCAAAACGCATGTTGTTTTGGGATAACTTGTGAGAATGAAATGATAACGAGTGTGAAGGTACGATTCCAAACGTTCTAGTATAGAAACACTGAAAACCATTAATCCTTTGTTGATTTATATTTGACAGTCGCTTGGCAAAAATTGAATAAACACTGGTTTCTTACCATTTTATCAACCACTTAACTTGGCAACTGATAAATGTACATTGTTCAAATTTTTTTATATGATTTTCTAATTCAGTCAAAAGGTTTTGCTTTGATCGAAATGGAAAATTTGGTTATGGAGGAGTTGTTTAAAAATAGTCGGTCATAACCAATTTCAAAAAGTGATCATGTAATCGAAAGATTCTGGAAAACAGACTTACTCATTTGAAATAAAAAAACTCAAGGCTCTTGAAGGAGGAGAAACTTCTTACAGGAGTATAGCGCTAAAGGAGGGAAAATCTTACAAATAATTAGACCCCTAGACAACAACGTAGCGCATGCTTTTAAATTCAGTTTCTACTTCTGTGAGAATTTAGCGGATTTTTTCAGAGCAATACATTCTGCCAATTTTCAAAAATGCTACTACCTTGGCATACGGAGCAATTTGCTCAGCCATAGAGGTAAAGGTTTACCACTAAACCATCGGTTGAGATAACAAATTTTTCAAAAAAAAATTTATTTCAAAAAGCGAACTAATTGGTCAGTGTCTTGATGAAAAGCAACTGAATAACTTCTCACAAGAGATTCAAACTCCCGTGTTTCACCTGCCAGGCGGCTGATAATCCTCTCCATTAACTGCGTGGCTTTTAAAGTCTGTCACAAGATCCAATTAAAGTTAAAAAATTTCATAAAAATGCTGTAGAATTATGTCGCCACAAGTCTCGGTTTCGCCACGATGGAGTCTCGGCATAATTTAATCACGTATTATCTCATTCTAGATTCAACTTAGAATTCAGAACACTGAATCTGTTGAGCTGACGTTATTTGACCATTTGAAGCAAACTTAATCTTTTCAGGAAGCTGCCATATTTGATTTATTTCCTGATGCAGCACATTTTATGAACTTTGTTTAGTTTGAAACAATATGCTTAGAATTGTTCAGAAACCAGCAACAATCAGCCGGAAATTTTTCAATTGAGCAGGGATTCTTTCCCATAACTACCAAAAAACGGCCTTCATGAAAATTAACGTAACAATTAATTTGAAAATTCCATGCATTTTTTGAAAAAGTTTTGAAAATACCAGTGCAGTTTTATTTTAAGTTTTTTAGGAAGCAATGTAAGTGCATTTATGAAGCACAGAGGAGTAAGTTTATTTTGAGAAAAAAAATTAACGCTCTCGTTTGAACGACATGTTCTTACGATTTTTTTTTCAGAGTCAATAATACACAATGAACTCACTAACCAAATTGTTGATAGCATCACTCACTATTTTTAAACACCATTTTAAGTTATCGTCGACAGCCACCTGATCAGACAAAAAAGGAAAGCCACGCGACTTTTCTTCTGTGAATTCGTGCAAGTTATAAAAATAGCCACATGTTTGTTCATTCTGGTTTCTAATTGGCTGAAAATTATTGTTCCGACTTTCGATACGAAAGTAACGGAATATTTGTGCTCGGGGTGGGTTTTTTTTTCTTGAGACAAATTTCGACTTTTTAACTAGCCATTTTTGCCGGAATTTTTTAATATCATTTAAAAGGTATTGTTGTCCTGAGCTTAAATTTGAAAAGATATTTTACTTGTGATCATTTTTCGTAAAGTTATGGGGGTTTAAAGATTGCCATTTTGACCAATTTGGGACAATTAACGAGCGATATATTTCGCGCTATTAACGCGTAAGCGGAGATTTAATCCGTAATAGAAATCGTTCCAAATTGGTTGAAAGAAG